CCAAAGATTTGGATGTGCTAACAAACTTCAAACGCACATTAATGAATCATTTCAAAATGAAGGACTTAGGTGCAGTCTCTAAGTTTCTAGGAATGAATATTGATATCAAGAGAAATAATGACAACTCAGTCCAAGTTCAATTACTGTTGAAAGACTACATCCATAAAACTCTACTAGAATATGGTATGCTCGAGTGCAACTCAGTTGCAACGCCTTTGGATGTTAAAGGGAAATATGTGTATGATGATAGTCCACCATGTAATCCCACACAGTACAGAAGTATAGTTGGAAAGTTGATTTTTGCCAGTAACACAGTGAGATATGACCTTTCTTATACCGTTAGTTATCTTGCTACTAAACTTCAGGAACCTACCCAAGCAGATTATAAGAAAGCACGCAGAGTGCTCAGATATTTAAAGGGTACACAAGATTTCCTGATAACATACAAGAAGACGAGTAAACGGTTTGATCTCAAAGGATTTACTGACTCTGATTGGGCAGCTGAGCAGGTAGAAGTCAAATCAGACGTTACAAACTCAGACCCAATCAAACATTTTGGATTAGATCAAGACACAAAAGATATACAAGCAAGAAGAAGTCATACTGGGTATATATTTACCGGATCAGGATCACCACTCAGTTGGAAATCGAAGAAACAAGTGTCAATTGCTTTAAGCAGTACTGAGGCCGAATATATGGCTATTTCAGAAGGTGTTAAAGAAGGATTATGGCTCAAGTCAATGTATGAGTGCTTAAATATCGAATTTGATACAATCACTCTATTTACTGATAATCTTGGAGCCAAGAAGCTTGCAGAACATTCTGCATATCATGATCGTACCAAACACATAGATGTACGGTTCCACAAAATACGTGAAGTATTACAAAGAGAACAATTTAAAATTGAAAGTGTTACTACTAACAAAAATATAGCTGATATGCTCACTAAGGCATTACCCAAGACTACCATGAATAATCTACTAAGAATAATATTTGAACCAACAGATTAAGAGAGGGTGTTGAAGTATTGTGTCAGAAACATGCAGGATCGTATATGACACAATTATGTAATCTGTTGGTTGCAAACAAATAGCTGAGAGAATATTGTAGAAATCCTAAATTGAGTTATTTAAAATATCCCGTATAGGTGAGTCAGGATATTTTAAATGATAGCTAGTCACGTGGAATAACGAACAATGATAAATTGCTCTTGGCAAGCTTGCTAATCCTATATTAGCAGTAGGCTATAAATACGCCACCATAAGTCCTAGACTTAGAGTAAATTTTTATAGAGAGATAAGCAACTCTGATTTATATAATACCGATAATATTATAAGACACACCTCAAGATAAGTATTACTCGTGATTAAACTTACTAACAATATGACTCGTATAGAAGATATAGAACGTCCATTTCAACAGAATCGTATCCCAGAATACACATTGAAGTGTTTGCAAGCTCCGTAGGGATAGCAGAAGTGTCATTGTTACACGGAGTACCCAAGTACTTAACGGGAACAAAAGCCTTAAGATAACAGTCCCATGACCCGAACTCATAGGGAGTGAACTCCATGAGAAATGAATTGTAGCAGTTGGAAGAGGTAAGATTGGTGCTGATAGATGCCACTATAGGGAATGGCTGTTGATGGTGTAGAAAGGAAGGCTTGTTTATTGCCATGGAAAGGGAAATACCTGGGTTCTGTGTATCTGTAGCAAACACATTGTATGATAGGGCTCTTCCCCAATAATCAGTAAAGGAGATGTAATAGCCTGCTTGTCTTTTAGCCCTCACTTCAGAATGCAATCGTTCATAGTAAGCAAATAGACCGCTGGCTACTTTACTTGTTGAATTATTTGGTGATGATGAAGGCTTGGTAATAAACGCTACTGCAGTTGAGTTCCCCTTCTTCTTCTGGCCAATCATTGATTGAACAAGGTTACCAAAAAATCCACCCTTAAAGTAAATCATGTCAGCTATATGTGTCTTGTGGATGCTCTTTGTCATTTGTTGTTCAAACAACAATCCTGATAGCCATGCCATCCACAACATATCGTTGGATCCTTTGGGACTCTGCTTTGCATCAGTATATAGTTTTTGTTGGACCTGTTACGGATCGAGCTCCAGGATGCCCTGTAGAAGAGTCTGGTGGATATTCCATATTGATTCTGTTGAAATGGACGTTCTATATCTTCTATACGAGTCATATTGTTAGTAAGTTTAATCAAGAGTAATACTTATCTTGAGGTGTGTCTTATAATATTATCAGTATTATATAAATCAGAGTTGCTTATCTCTCTATAAAAATTTACTCTAAGTCTAGGACTTATGGTGGCGTATTTATAGCCTACTGCTAATATAGGATTAGCAAGCTTGCTAAGAACAATTTATCATTGTTCGTCATTCCACGTGGCTAGCTATCATTTAAAATATCCTGACTTACCTATACGGGATATTTTAAATAACTCAATTTAGGATTTCTACAATATTCTCTCAGCTATTTGTTTGCAACCAACAGATTACATAATTGTGTCTTATACGATCCTGCATGCTTCTGACACAATACTTCAACAAATCCTATATTAGCAGTAGGCTATAAATACGCCACCATAAGTCCTAGACTTAGAGTAAATTTTTATAGAGAGATAAGCAACTCTGATTTATATAATACCGATAATATTATAAGACACACCTCAAGATAAGTATTACTCGTGATTAAACTTACTAACAATATGACTCGTATAGAGGATATAGAACGTCCATTTCAACACATATTTCCCTTTAACATCCAAAGGCGTTGCAACTGAGTTGCACTCGAGCATACCATATTCTAGTAGAGTTTTATGGATGTAGTCTTTCAACAGTAATTGAACTTGGACTGAGTTTGTTGAAATGGACGTTCTATATCCTCTATACGAGTTATATTGTTAGTAAGTTTAATCACGAGTAATACTTATCTTGAGGTGTGTCTTATAATATTATCGGTATTATATAAATCAGAGTTGCTTTTTTTCTCTATAAAAATTTACTCTAAGTCTAGGACTTATGGTGGCGTATTTATAGCCTACTGCTAATATAGGATTAGCAAGCTTGCCAAGAGCAATTTATCATTGTTCGTTATTCCACGTGACTAGCTATCATTTAAAATATCCTGACTCACCTATACGGGATATTTTAAATAACTCAATTTAGGATTTCTACAATATTCTCTCAGCTATTTGTTTGCAACCAACAGATTACATAATTGTGTC